TGAATATGATTTGTGATAGAGACTTGTATCTAGGTAATTAATATTCTCCAGGAGTGCTCATTTCACCAAATTAATTAGAGAACAATTCTTCTGACCTATTTTAGATATGTTTCAGAACTTATGATGCAGTTTATCCTAAAAGTGCCTGCTTTCCTCCTTTCCATACAAAGGATGTCTATGATGTGACATGCTCAGGTGGAAATGTCTGTAGTAGAGAGCTCTGAAGTTAGGCTAATGAATTCTGCCCTTTCTTTCTACTTGACAGGTTTAGGTCTTCAAAAGCATTTCATATAAAGAAAATAGTATGGTGCTCTGACTTTCTAGAGGAAAGATACTCGAACAAATACACTCATACTGTAGAAAATTAGTGTTATAAGAGCCACAGTTATACTTTTGCTTCTTTAACTGGTTTGGATGGGAAGTGTCTTTTGTGAGCAGTGATAACCAAAAATGTTTTGGAGTCTTCACTCCCTGAGGATAGATTGAACTGACATATGCAGTGCAGTCTAAAAGCAATAACGTACTGACCCCCCTTGCTGGCATTTCAAGCTTCTCCCCCTTCTGACTGTGATGAAAACCCTCTGAATGCAAGGGGGGGATGACTGCTGCCTAGCTAGCATTGCTGAGATGTCACAGCTCTTGTTACAAAGGTTTCTCCCACTCAGAGCTATGCTGTCTAAAGCCTCATCAAGAGCACTGAGATCAAGTGCCAAAAGCGGGACTGCAGAGGATTTTAAGATTCTATATCCTCCAAGAGCTGCCTGAGAAAGACATGGCCACATATGAGATATTTGAATGGTCATTTAAAGGGACACTGCTGAAAATTGCCCTGCTATTTGAAGACAACTGCTCTGTTTTCATGAGTAACACATCAGATTATTGTCACAGAAAGAGATGAGAAGGTAAGGAAAAACACTCTCCCTTTCTCTTCCCTTACCCCTTCTCCACACACTTACCAACACTTTCTACAGTCAGTTGTGCTGCTTCATTTAAAAGACAGCAACTTGTCCTTTTTCCCTATGGAGTTTGAGAGAGAAATTTTTAATTTTGTATAGGAAAATATGATGGTAAAACATTACTTGGCAGGAAGTACCTGGAGCTACTCAGAATTTGAAGGCCATGTTTGAAATAAAAAGTCTTATTTTAGAAAAAATGATAGACTTCTTTGAAGTATATTTTAAGAAATTAATACAAATCTTGTGAGTTTACCTGTCAGTATAAGGGCTCCAAACTTCCCAGGGCTTCCTGCCCTGTCAAAAGACAGCAGACCCATCCTTGGTACCTCTAGGTTAAAAAAAAAAATAGGAAAAAATATCTCTCCAATTCCATGTCAAAAGCACACACTGGATGTACATTTTGACATCCATACACCAAATAATCCATGGAGAGTAGTAATGGAACCATAGGTACTGAAGTTCAACATTGCAAATCACAGTCCTGATGCAAAGAAATGATTGTGATTTCACAGAGAATTTATAAACCTCTTATACATGAATATTGTCTTTGTAGAAAATAATCGCCAGAAACTAAAGCCCTGAGGCAATGAATATTCTCTGTTGCGCATGGAAAAGGCTACACAGCGGTGTTGAAAAACCTGGATGTCTGCTTAGTGTTGAGTCAAAGCTGGCTTAGGTCTTTGGATGGAGGCTCTGCAGTCTGCTTCATAGTGACAGTGATGTGACTCTTCAGTATGCCTGGGAAATTGGCAACATGCAGCTCTGTCTTAGCCAGTGTAAGTAAATACCCACTGAGTCAGTATTAACTGGTACAGGTTCCTTTCCCATCTTGTGTATCCCTTGGAAGATATCATGCTAGTAAAAGCTGGAAAGCTTTCATAGGCTTTCAAGACCCAGAGTTCACTGTGAAAGCACAGATCTCTAACAGCTCTTCCATTTTGTGAAAAATAAAGCAGCCTCCCACTCCAAGGGAATACACCTTCCTTTTCCTTCCTGACTGTTCTTATGCAGACTTTTTTTATCACCTCTCAAATATATAAATGGATTTATCTTTCTGAAGGATGACTGTTTGTAGCTCTACACCTGTTACCATCCTCAGGTCCAGGTCCACAAAGTGACTTGGGGTTTGCCATGCCCTCAGGTTAGGCACCCATCTCCAAGAGCAGATATGACAATTTGGTTAAGGTATCCAAGTTTACTTCAACTCTACTGCTTCACTGTCAGGTATCCCAAAAGGCACTCACTGTCGGGAAATGCTGAACGGAATGACAATGGAAGGGAGCAGTGCTTGAAGCCGCTCAGAGAGACAGGAATTTAGGATTTCTTTTTGGTAGGAGACTGCCCTTTTCACTGGAATACAATTCTGTCCTCTCCTGCCTGTACTTTTTTTGTCTCTTGAATGCTTTATTCCTCGCTTGGTGACCCAAGCCACCTATGGGAGGAGTGGGGAATGGCAGAAGACAGTCTAAAGTAATTTTCCCACTTCCTGGCAGTGTGTCTAACCTTTACATACAAAGCATGAAGAACTAGATCATCTCCTTTGCTGACAGTTTAGTTTCATTCAGAAATATGCTGCGCATTGTGCTGACCTTGTATAATGATGTTTATTGGATCAAGGTCCTTGAGAATTTAGATGCAAGCATGCCTAACTAACTATCAAACACGTGGAAGAAATAAAAATGTACTATGAGTTTCAGCACAGTTCAGACAGTAGCACTCATTGGCTTGCACAGGAGCAGAACTTAGGAAGCTGAGGAGTAAGTACTTAATGTGTCTTGTGAACCTGTAAATGTTAGACATCTAAATTATACAAAACTGAAATTTAATTGTATAAAACATTTTGAGTATGGCTGTCACTGTATCTCCTTTCTTTCTGCACAGTGAAATAATGTAATAAGATTCTAGTCTCATGAATAGGAACCAATTGCTTCAGAGAGCTAAGGCTTTACTTGGACTACTTACAGAATAAGGCACAGCACTCCATAGGTAAGATGATGAAATTCTGCTTTGTGGTTAAACATTTGCCTTGGTTCTGCTCTGGGAATTCCTCACACAGCACGTGGCTAAGCTATGGAACTCCCCGCCTCAGGACACTGTGCATGCAAAAAGTTTACACAGGTTTAAAAGGCAAGTGGATAAACTAATTGAGGAAAAATCCATGAAAAGCTATTAAATACACAGGCAGCACTTCTGGTGCAGGAAAATCGCAGTCTCTGTGTCTATCCCCTCTCTTACTCCCAGTCACTATGTTCTTGCCCCGTTTTATTACTTTTTCTGCGTCACCTGCTGCTGGCCGTATCAGAAAGAAAGATACCTTTGAAGATGGCTCCTTAGACTCATCCTCTGCAACAGTTTGTACATTCCTGTGCAAGAGAAGTTTCAGACTGAAAGTAATTTGTAGCAGCACAAACATAATTTTCAGTGTAAGTACACTTATAGGATTTTCCCTTTGGCTTAGTGTGATCTTACAGTAGAGCCTATCAAGAATAACTTTCTTAAAGTCAATAGAGTTAAGCCAAAGGGAAAAATAAAATGTTTAGAAAGATTTAATTAGGACTAGGGCAACCACTGGATTTTTTTTTTAGTGTAAATTCAAGGAACCTGACTTATGTAAGCACTCTAATAGTTCAGGGAGAATTCATTCTGCATTAGTTTTTCTTGGGTTGCTTGGTTCCTAAACTGTAAAATAAGCAATTTTTTAACTGAGTAATTTCAAAAGAAATCAATACAGTATATGCTTATGTCAGTGCTCACAAAATCTCACTCAGCTACATTTTACTGAATCTGCTGAGTACAAATGGCTGCAAATAAAATTTCCAAGATGCACAGACATGGTAAGTGTGTCAGTATTTCGGTAATAGTTATCACATAATGTTTGAAGATCTGTTGATCCTTAAGAATTTGATATGGCTCTAAACTGCACGAATTTGATTGGCTATATTTTTGTAATCCTGTTACAGGGACACTGCATCTTAAAAGTATTTTTTTAAATGCTGTTTGTTCAACTGTTTTTTGCCTATGAATAAACATTTCCCCATTTTATTTTCCCCTTTTATTTTCTGAAAAAAAGTTTAACAGTTGAATGTACTTTTCTCTGCTTATATATTGATTATTCTTTGCCTTTGACCTGTTCTAAACAATAATAATAACAAATTTCTGGTTTTAAAGACACTATCAATCTTTGATTCTCATGCACTAGAACAAATTTATCTTCTAAACATTGAAGATATATATTTATAGTCACTTATAAAAGAGTTTTAACATAGCTATCTTGCACAAATTTGCCTATTGATTAAGTTATACGCAAAGTAGTTTCAGAGCAGCCATGATTTAAAATGCCTTTAAAAATTCACCAAATAAGTGGACTGTAATTCGTACTGCACTAGTGCAGGCCAACAGTCAGCGTCCTGTTGTGCTAAATGCTTTGGAACCACATAGAAATTAAAGTTCTCCAAGCCAAACAATTTATGTTTCAAAGGGATGATACCCACCAGTAAGTGTTCCAAGAACAGATTGCTGGGTACCTAAAAACTGTTGCCAGCCAATACATTAACTGTCTTGGTGCTGCGCCTGAAGACTGGAAACACTGTGTTCGGTGCTACGTGGGTTCCTGTGATTGGCCATTATGTTCAGAAAGATAACATTTCTTGCCTTGGATCAGGCTTTTCTGTCTGTTATGCAGGGAACATCTAAACACTGGGGGATGTTCTCATACAGCTAAGAGGCATGATAATTAGAGGAAATAGTCACCTTGTTTTCACTCTGTCATCACACAACTTTCTATGGACTGGAGTGGAATTTAAAGCTGTGTTCCTGCATCCCTCTTTCTGAAAAGGGAGAGAATGTTTGATATTTGCTTAGATCCTGAAAGTAACTTGTTCCAATGTTTGGCCAAGCTCATGGTGAAAAAATTTCATTGTATCATCTGCTTGGATTTTCCCATATTGCAACTGGTGTCTGCTGTCCCTCACCATTATCACTGTGCACCTTCAAGAAGAGTCTAGATTCATCATGTCTATAGGGTCCCTTTAGGTATTTGAAGAAATGGGTGAGTACAGGCAGGTATGTCAGTTTGGCACTTCAGAGAGACATGCTGGAATAGAACCAAACAACAGTATAGAAGGTCTTGGATGATTTTTTTGTTTTCCACGCTGATTCCAAAGGCTCACAGAAGTAACTAAATTTCTGTACAGCGACTCCCATGAAAATCACAGAGCAAAAGAAAAAGCTGTATAATTTTCAGTCTGGCCTTGTGCATAATGAGAATAACCCAATTAAAAGAGCACAGGTGCCAGAAAAATATCCAAACCACTCTGTAATTGGCCTAGAGAAGACTTCTCTAATACAGCCACTAAAGACCATAGACTAAAATTGCCTCTGGGGGATTCTGATTCAAAATGTGTATGCTGGGAGTGGGTGTGGAACAGGAAGGACACTGCTAAAACTATGGGTGCTGCTGCAGTCTTTAGGGCAGCCCAATGATATTCATTGACAAAAGAGCTTTGAGATACACCAAAGGTTTCGATAATCCCTGTAGCAGCTCAGCATCAGAAGGGACAAAAATGGTTTTCAGCCTCCACAGTACTTGTTCTGTGGACTGCAAGAATCAGAATGCTGTGTTCCAACAATAGCCCTCTAGGAAGGGGTCATTTGCTTTCTCATGGAGATGTCTCACAAATAGAGACGTTAAAACTTGAAATTTGTGTTATTTCAAATACAAAACATGAAGAGAAAAAAAATCCCAATAATCTGTCACACATTCATTATGTATCACAAAGGAGGAAAAGTGTTTACCTCCCTTGATGTCCCACTTAGAGCTTACAATGCACAGGCAGAAAATACCACTGCATTAGTACCCCTTGTGGAGATCAGATTTGATACTTCTGGTGGGAGCTGAAGTGCTCCATTGCTGCACCAATAGAGAATGAATGATTTGGGACAAGTAAAACAAGGAAATAAGATACTCGAACCAACTGATCTCTTCAAAGCAATCCTATTAGAAAGATACTGGACTGTGATTTCTATTTTTAGTAAGGAATCATATTTAAAGTCTAATGTTAATCTATCCTCTTGGCCAGTTAATACCAAACACAATTAATACTAGATGTTTATTAAAAAAAAAAAAAAACAAAACTTTTTTGATACCAAGTAATGATAGTCCCGGTCATTTAGTGTGACAGATAAGCTTTAGACTTTCACTCTTAGCTATACCACAAAGTTCCATTACAGTGTTCGATGAGAACAAATGAAATTAAAATGCCATCACTGTATTTTAGGGTTTTGCTACAACTGGGCTTTGAAATGTCTGGGGACTTTTTTGCTTGTCTGTTGATTAAAATCATAACCTTTTGCCAAAGTGCCATTTGATCATGGAAATAAACTGCTCTTTGCTTTTCAGAGCTGTAGCTAAACCACTGCTGGGAACATAAAATGCTAATATGTAGTTACTAATACAGGTGATGTGAGAGGCAGGAGTAACGCTGAATATTCCTGTAACAACCTCTTAAGGATTTGTGAAGCCCTGATCTTTAGCTGCATTTGTTCATTATGTCTGCTGATGTTTTCCACTCTCTTTATAATTAAAATATTCTGGGAACAATGCACATTAATCTTCAAGCTGTACATACTCAGAATATTTGCTCACATGCATATATATACACATTTAATTTTTTTTTTCCTTAAACTGTCTTTCTAGATCCACAAATCATAAACATTCTGTTCCTTAGTGATTCCTGTGAAATGTCTCTATCCCTTAGTTGTTCCTCTTGCTCTAGCATAAGAAAATATCCCAGATCTCTGTGTTTTGATCAATAAAAGTCAGCTACTTCTGCTTCTGAATATATCCAGGAAGACAATTTATTTGGCAAGAATTTTTTTTTTTTTTTTTTTGGTAAGTTGAGAGCTTTGAGAACCTGGCTATGATTAAAGCTGTCTCTTGAGCACATCAGAAGTGTTTTTAACACAGTCCACAGCTCAGAGAGAAACGGTGTCTCGCTCTGAACAACCATTGTGAATTTGGAAATCAACTACAAGCTTAGAGATTATTTAGCCAATAATTAGTAATCATCATTTTGTGTCCTATCAGGTGGAAATCCTTGATTGGAAGACAAAGAAACAGCTATGCTTCCTAGATAAGGTAAAACAAAAGTCTGTTTAAAATGCTAGATGACTATTTAAAAATTACTAGCTTTTCTTAAGTAAACTTAGTATTTATGAAGGGTATTTCATCTCCTGATAGCCTTTCCTTGACCACGGTTATGCACACCTCATACTGACTACAGAGTACTTCAACCCTTTTCCAGAAGGAGCCTTTGGGGAAAGAGCACAACTTCAGCTGCTTCACTAAGATGGTGCCAGTTGTGTCTTACTCACTCATAAGCCATCAAACTCTCACTGCTGTTATAGTAACTCTTGATCACTGATAGAGAAGCTGCCTCTGAAACAGATGTCACAAATTGTCCTCCCTTTTTCCTGTAAGAAATACTTTGAATCACCCATGCCATTCCAGCCACCTGTAAAAAAGTTATACTGTTACATTGTTTGAGTTACATTTCTACCTGAACAGTCTTACACCTAGTAGTTGTCTTTCAAAATATGCATCTTACATATGCAATATTTTTTGTTGCCTAGGTGGAACCAAATGCCACAATTAGGGAGATCAGATTGATGTTCCATAAATTATGTGAGTATAACTTTTGCACCAGTTCATATCACATCAGAATATCCACTATATAAATAGAAGAAAATTACATAATTTGAAACATGTGATGCACACACACATAATGCTAAGTAACCTGCACATGAATGCGATCACAGTGAGATTTCAGTATCATTTTTTATACTATCCTGATACACTTTTGTATTTTTTCTGCTGCATAATTTCTCACAGATATTCATGTTGAATAAATATTCCTAAAAATCTTTAAATCTTATCTTGTTGTGTTGCATTCATCATAATAGTGGATGATCTAAACCAAACATTGTATATCACACAATTCTGTATGGTCTTACAGATCCTCGGTGGTATCCAGCCAGGCAGTCGATAAAACTTGATCCAAGTAAGTACTTGTGAGGACTAGAGTAACAAAGCTCTGAGCAGGGGCCTGGCATAAAAGGTGTACTTTGCATGGGTATTAGCTCTTAAGAATGAGTTTCCAGCTATGTTAATGAGCACTATGAAGGCTGAAGAGAATCCAGAACAAATTTAATTCTTTAGAAGCATTGAACAGAGTTCCACCCATGTGCCTGGTGCTTGGTAATTAACTCAGGAGTCTGCACATTGTTCCAATGCACTTTCTAACTACTGAGCACTTTTGCTTTCAAGGCAGGCAGCACAGAATCTAGGTACTAATTTCCTTTAGCTGCAGTGAAATGATCTTGACAGTGATGCTCAGCTGGGAGTACTAAAAAGGGCTATGAGTTAGAGCTATCAATTCACATAATTCTCTGCTTTTAGGCAGGAATTACAGTTCTTTTGAAGTAAGCTAATGCAAAACACATTGCCATGGATGTAGGATTTGCTGACAAAGCTGATGCCAGCTGGCTGACTTCATTAATGCAGGTATTGCTACCAGAAGCCTCTTAGTACATGGCCTGGTGCACAAAAAGTCTAATTGCCAAACTGTGTTGATTCATCTTAGCATTCAGTATAAAATGTAGCACTTTCTTCTTCTGCTCCCATTAAGCATAATTTTATCCGAACAGTTCCTTAAAAGTATGCTGGTGAAGATTAGTTCATTGTGTAGAATCTGTCCATGGAAAATAAGCTTATGGGTATCATAGTTCCTTCTTCAAACATCTACCTTGTCAGATTCCTCCATGGACTTATGTTGTGAGACTTGCCATGAGAAAATGGCACTCTCCTTCTGGAGATTCCCCCAAATCTAGGCATTAAAAGCTTGAGTAGTAGCTCAAGTCCTGAGGAATCACCTCCTAACTGGTGGTTTGGGAAAAAAGGAGGCAATGAAAACCTCTGTAGGAGAGCCTTCCAATCTCAGCTTATCCTAGCTTCTGTTTGTCTGACAATGAGCAATGAGAAGAGAGAAAGAGAGAGGTGGAGGTGCAGCTAACTAAGAGGTCAGTAAACTACGTTAAAGGGCAGTGACCCATCAGCAAATTCTGCTGTAGCAGTGATGAAGCAAGTCTACTAGACTAGGCAGGCACATAGGATTGAGAATTCTCCTGTCTTGGTGTGAATAGAGGATCCAGGCTTATATGTGATTACAGGGATAAATCAAAATTAAGTATAAATATTCTTAGTTTGTTTATTGAGATTCCAATAAACTCATGTCATGTCAAAGAATCTCATAGATTGGTTAAAGAACAATGTAGAGCTAGTACACTACCAAAGTTGACTTGAATTTCACTAAGATGTAATTACTTATTTCCTTCTCAGAAGGAAAGTCCCTGAGGGATGAGGAAATCCTGCAGCACCTCCCTGTTGGCACAACCGCTACCTTATACTTTAAAGATTTAGGGCCACAGATAGGATGGACTACGGTGAGCTATGCTTCAAGTCTTAGCCATTTTAATGGCTATTTTTCCATAATTAATTAAAACTTACATCACTTTTTGTCTCTCTCCAGTATTTCTGCATGATGCCTGCTCTGATAGTGGATGCAGGCAATCAATCCTCATTGCTTCAGTTCATTTAATCAGGGAAAGCAGTAACAGGATATTCTGAATGCCTAGTTCCCCAGGACAGCAGCAGTAGAAAACTCACTGCAGAGTAGGATGGCTCTACTGAACTAAGGTGCAGGTTCTCGGATTTAGATGTCTACTGCAAAATTACTAGGAGCTAGGTGTCTAAATGCTTTTGAGGGTCTGCTTCACAGGGCCTGTGTAACTCTCCTGCAAAGATCAGGGTTATATTCCTATATGTTGTCCTGCAAAGCAGCATGTGAGCAACTTCACATGGCAGTAACTGTGGAAAATGCACGAAAGTAAGATCAGTTAGCTGTCTGTATGTGGCTGCATCCCAGGATGCTAGTGTCAGGCTAATGACAGCTGATAATTTCTGCAATATTAGTTGCCACCACAAAGACTTCGCATATTTACTGTCTTAGCTGAAGTGCAAGTTCTGTCACAACTCACTTGGCAGGCAACACAGCACTGCTTTTTATGCAGTGAGTTGACTAGTGACTCTTCCAGTTCTTCAGAAGGTCTGTGATGCATGTTTTACACTAGTTCTAATGAAACAGCACAGCACAAAGGGAAAAGTACCCTGTAATTTAAAGGCACACTTACAATTTCTTAGCTATGAGACATTAATAAATTCTTGTGTTAATGACGAATAGCAAAGACAATATTCATAGGAGGTAAATAAAAAATGTCAAATGTTCTGCAAGACTGACTTTTCACACCATTACTTTGGATGCAGTGCTGATAAATCAGGCAGCTATTACAGAAGCCAAAGAACAGTAAGACAAGCAAAAACTTGTAATGGCAATGTAGACTCCAAGACACACATGCATTAATATACACCAAAATAACACAGTGCAGAATAACACCAGATTTCTGCCATTCCATAATCTTCGCTTTACATTCTGTTGTCCCTGCCTTTCAAGGTATTCAAATGTAAGCCAGGAAATACTTCGGTTTTATCAAATAAAAAAGATAAACTTCTTATCTACAATCAAATCTGATCTTCCCCAGAGGAAATGCTGATTGTTACAGAAGTTGGTAATACAACTTTTCTGAGTGTCAAAATAACTAAACACATTAGAAAACAGTGTTTTATTTTGTTTGTTTGGGGTTTTTTTTACAGAAGTACAATCAATTTCCTTTCTTTTTCCATAAATAAGGTGTGGGCCTACCTTCCTCACTTACAGAAGCATGGAAAAATCAACTGTTAATGTTTGGTCCAAAGTCAACTCCTATTCAGGTTGATGTTCCTAAGGCACACCTATCTGAAACGAAATCAAGTTAGATCATAGGTTCTTTGGTTTCCTCTTTTTTTTTTTTTTTTTTTCTTTGTGTTTAAATTAAAGATTGTTTGAACATAGAATAGTTTGATTGTTTCCTGGGACATCTGCTGTGCTAACTGTTCATACAGATGGGGTCACCTGTAAACACTTACAAGCTGTGTTTCCAGTTTAAACAAAATTCATTCATTAGAAACAAAGCTCTTCTTTTTCAAGATAAATTCTTCACCAAATTTCATTTAGCCCAAAACAAAGCAATAGTTTTTGAGGGCAAGAGGAGGGTGAGAGCTGCGTAAATGTAACATGCATGCATATTTATCATGATCTCTCGGCTGCCATTATTATCTTTTCATACTCATGCTGTGTCAGCTGCACCAGCAATGGCTGTTTGTATGCAATTGAGGCAAATGCATTGCAAAACATTTACGTGCATGTCTGCCAGTTCCATAGCCCAAGCCCAAACCTGCTATTCCCTCCCTGCCTCTCTAAATGCCATCCTGGGTCAGTGGAGGTGTTTATCCCACTGCATTAGTTATCACAAAGAAACCAGAGCAAAACCATCATCTAATTCAGCTGTCTAATTATTTTCTCTCTTTTTGCAGGTATTTTTGATAGAATATACAGGTCCATTGTTCATCTATTTTCTGTTTTATTTCCGCATGCCTTTTGTCTATGGACTGGATGAGAGGTTTACATCAAGCCCGCATCCAGTAGTTAAGTAAGTGCATTTGCAGGCTTGAGCAGTATTTCTTGTTAGCATTGTAGTCTTATTCCAAATGTCTTGCCACACTTGGTTTTTTAAGCACTCTTAAATGCTTTTGTCTTGCTGTTTCTAGCTTGGCATGTATCTGCCATTCTTTCCACTACATCAAAAGGTTGATTGAAACAGTATTTGTTCATCGGTTCTCCCATGGGACTATGCCACTGAGGAATATTGTGAAGGTAAATTGTGTCAGAATCTATCCATAGCCCCCCATACAAATCCAACCTGGCCAACCTATGCTCTGCCTCTGCAGCACAGATTTTTCTGGTGTGGCTTTTGTAGTAATGCACTGCAAATCTCACCCATAAAGCTGTAGTTCTTTCAAAATATTTCTTAATATTGCGTTTGTATAACCCACACATTGGCATACTGTTATTCATGTTCTAGTAGTCTCATTGCTCTTTTAGAATTTCAAACCTTCAGCATACCCTTTCCACTATGCTAGCTCCTTGGTGTGAAGGTTTTAGTAACAATGTTAACTTTTAAGGTAGCACAGGCAGGCACAATGTTGGGAGGGTTGCTTTTTAAAAAAAAAAAAAAAAAAAAAAAAAAATTACCCCCCCCTACTTTTTGCAAGTCATTTTACATCTTCTTTTCCCCTAACACTCTCTTTGCTGTTAAGCAACTGTTAATTTACCTTTGATCTAGCGCAAAGCAGCTTGGTTGTTCTGCATTTCCTTCGCCCGCAGGAGCACTCCTGTTGCTGCTGAGATGCAGACCCCCTAATTCCTAGATGTCTGCGAAGTAGTACAGTGGACTGCATGGCTATGCATGGGCTGTAGTTATTTTACAGATGTTTGCAACAGAGTACGTGCTGGTATTCAAAAATATACTTTATACTCAGGAAGACAGGAGATGATCATTGACAACTGGAAAAGCGTATAGTATAGTATCAGCATTTAGGTATTTCACATTTGGTATTTAGACAGTCCCTTGGAATTTGCATTATGGCAGTGATGCTACAAGCAGCTGAAGCTCTACCTTGTGGCTAACTCCTTACAGCTGCGCAGCGGCTCTGGTAGTTCTGGCAATAGCTTCATGCTTTCTAAATGCAAGGAGGGCCTGTAGTTGAGCAGTGGCCCTCAGAAAGAATCCTCCCTAGTAATTTACTGTGTTTTCTGCAGCTGAAGAGTGCAGAAATTGTTAAAAGGCTAGCAGATCTCTAAAAGACTTGTTCTTGATACAATAGTAGTAATGCATGCTAAACAGCAGATAAATGAGCAACTTCACCTTGAAAAAGAATCTGTACGGTGTGATAAATCTTCATTTTCTCACTGCCATCTCTGACAACTAGACATTCCTTTCAGATCATACAAACTGCTTTTGCTAAAATTGACATTTCTACTAGTCATTCTGATCACTTCTACTTTTCCACCTTCTCAAGTTGGTGGTACTTGCTTTCATCTGTAAAGTTGCTCACAGTTCTTCTACCTGCTTAGCAGTTCTTGGGTTTGATTTGCTTTTATAATTTAATTGACTTTGGTGGTGTTACTGCAAAATTGTGCCAGTGAGAAAAATATCACATCCTCTTCCCTTTTTTTCTCTCGCATACAGACGGTAGACAAAGCTTCTTACTTTGATCACGTACATAGCAGATATAGATAACTTATTTCCTAAGCACAATGGTAAGCTACCTTTAACAAGAGACACTTCAGTCTCAATAAGCAGAGGTCAGAGATAGGAATTGATGTGATTTGTGATTTTCATCCTTTGTTTACTAAATGGAAATAGGAATAAATGATGCCATAAAAAAGGCATAAAGCAGGGGTTCACCAAAAGCAGTTCATGCTATATACTAACATAGCATAATTCTTTCTAAGATACATGATTTTTCTAGGCAATGCAAAGGTAGAATACCTAATTTATCTGGATTTAATCAACTGGCTCAAGGTAAATAAGATAGGGATTAAAATTACAAAAATTGTGTAGTGATAAAGGAACTAACTAAAGGAAAGGTGACAGTGGTTATGCCAGAAAAGGATCTGTCAGACCTTTAATAATAGGGAGGTACCAGTGGAATGCCTCAAAGGTTAGTCTTATGACTGGTCTTACTGAACATTTTCATGGGTAAAAAGAAGGGATATCATTGCTTTCTATAAAAACATCTGGAGGAAAGAAAACAATAGACTTAAAGAAATACTATTTAAACCAGAAGACAATATAACAAGACAAACAGAAGGGTACATGCTGGTCATGAATAAACATAGGCAGGGCATTAAGAAATAGTTTTGATCATCAGCTGGAGTAGAGAAGAAAAAAATCCTAACCATAACTTTGTAAACTTAGGAATAAATTATTTATGGGATCCCTGCAATATCTGAGCTTGATCCACAAAATCTTTTTATAAGAGATTGTTGTAAAGCTTTATTATTCACCTGGACTATGAAAGAGTCACAGAAAAAAAATCTTTCGAGTGAGTTTATGAAGTCTGCATGTACTCTGCTGTTCCTATCTGAACCTCACCGGAGGCCTTTGTATGAGCAATAAGGCTTCTAGTGGCAGCTGGACATTTGTAGTATTACTGCTAAGGACCTTAGCAGTGGCAGACTCCACTCATCTTAAAGCTCCTTTTCTTATAATTGAGGAATACTCTTGCAGTAAATCATGTTCTTTGGATTAATAGTACTTGTTGAGTTTAATTACAGCATGTATTGTTGGGAGCCGAACCATGCTAATTTTTTTATTTAATCTTACTTTAGTGAAAGCCATTGCCATGTGATCCAGCCTGTGCCAAGCCCCGAAGTTAGGGAAAGGTTTTTCTTAAGATGCCATTCCAAGATTACAAGAAACTGTTTCCACCTAAGTTTGTACAGCAGTTAGTAAATTGTAGGTGATGGTGGAAGAAGCTAGTGTTAGGGAGGAAGCAGTAGTTTATGGATAGGCCACTAACTAGATTGCTCCTCACTGGAGTCATTCTTCTGGCTCTGCTGCTTTTCCTAGGGAAAAGGAAAGTCATCACAGGGAAGTTACTTAATCTCTGCTCTTTTGTCCCACCTGATCTGTAATTATTGGTGAATAATTTGCTCTTTCTCATCAATTATCTATTAATATGTAATCTCTGAGCAAGGACACAATATGTGCTTGTATTACAGCATACCCAAAAGGGTGTCTATTTTGTCTGAGGTGTCTGGGCATTTCAATGGTTCAATTAACTCTGAAAAGAAAGTGGAAATTCAACAGAATGTTTGATACAACTGTTTGCAGCAGATGGAGGGGTTACCCCTCACCAGCATTTTCAGAAAAACACATCATCAGAAACTGCAGTCCATGTAGGCTGCAGACACTGAGGTAATCATTTTTTGGGGGTATTATTGCTAGAAATGCAGTTCTGGTATATATACGGGGAAAAGGCTGCAGAATTCAAAGCCAAGAAAAAAGTTAAACCAGTCAGGAGAGGAAAGAATGCGGCCTTAGATAGAATTGTGGCTGTGTGAGCAGGAAAGGAAAGCTGTGAAGGACAAAGCAGAAAGACCTAGAAATGTCTAAGTTATGTGAATCTACTGGAAGGCCAAGAAAAAAGCATCACCAGAAAGAGTTAAGAGGATCAGTGTTTTACCCAAGAGTGAAAGTAGGAGAGAAAACAGGAGGGAAGGAAAGATAAGGGGAAGGAAAAGAAGTGGTGAAAGGAAAATAAAGAACTTAGTTTCGGCTTTGCTGAAGTCCAAGCGACAACCAAACATGCCCTAAAATGTTAAAAACTGAGGCACTAGGTTCTGTAAAATCTCAACTAATGAGAGGCAAATTTATGAGTTGTCAACAAGGGTTAAAGTCTGTCTGCAAGAGAATGCCACCTAGAGGTGAGAGCACAGAAGAAGCAGCGGAATGGGCCAAGAAGGGGCCTCCCTCCTACCTACACATATATAAGGAGGGAGAAGATAACCTGTCACCAAGATACTGAAGCAGCAATGAGTGTCAGAAGAAAAAATGCAAGAGGCAGGGCCAGGAAGACCAAACACAAGGTAGAGATTGCCATTGTAAATAGTATTTTTCATGGATGAAGCCTGCAAACAAGCTCTGAGATTGGGCAGGAATGAGTCAGTACAGCCGTCAGTGACAGCTACGTTATCAGAGTTTAGAGAATGGAAGCTGGATCACAGAAAGCCTAGCACAGGAGCAAGAGGGACAAACTAAAGATATCGCAGTGAAGGCGCAGAGGAAAGCATCAGGCATGATGACTTTAGGTAAGAAAAGTTAAAGCATGGGAAAGAAAGAAAATGATGGGGTGACAGAGAAGAGGAAAGGCAAGAGATTGGGCAATACAAAGTAATAAGCAGGGAAGAGAGCACAGTGCCTAAATCTGGTTTTACAAAGTCTCAGGGGTTAGCAAAACAAGCCTCTCTAACATACAGTCTGTATGGCACTTCATCTTTGGTTAAATGGCTTGCCAGACAAGATAAATTTGTTTTCAATAGTATGATCATACTTTCTAAAACTATTTAAAAACTTAACAGCTCCAAGATATTTGAGAGGAAATCTTGCTCTATGAGCACTACTTCCTTCTTGTTATTTCCTGTTGTCTGCTCCCACCTCACCACACTTAGTATGTATTATCAGCAACTTGAAGGAGCAGCCCAATTCATTGTTATCAGTGGTCCTTACAGTGAACACTGGCTTAGAAGATTGTACTAAAACAAAGAATAATTCCCTGTTTTTCAGAACTGCTTGTATTACTGGGGATTTGCAGCTTGGCTTGCTTATTACATCAATCATCCTCTTTATACTCCTCCTTGTAAGTAGCAAAATAACCCTCAATACAATTTAAGTAATTATGTGTTTGTATATTAGTACTAATCACATGTAAACTTTTTTTTTTTTTTACAGCTTATGGGAAAAAACAGATAAACTTTGCTGTGATCATGTTTCTGGTAAGTTTGTTGCTCTTTTTATAAAATGCTAAAACATGTTGCTTTATTTCTTATTTTGTACAAGTGAAGATTGAACAGGGTAAGCAGATACTTGGAACTTGAAGACTTGGGATATACTATTAAAGCTGACCACTTGCATGGAGAATGGGTAAATTCGTCAGTTTTTAATGTGATATTGTACACAAAGGAAGATTTTGATTCCGTAACCATTCCAAGACTGGGATATTTATCTGCTGGCATGATCTCTCATAGTCTTTAAAAGAATCCTGGAACTACCAGTTTGTAACACTGTTTAAGTGTCAGTGAGTTTGTTTCATGAACTGTTTAGTGAATGTTAAGCATCACAACAGATCATAAAACTCAGAGAACTTGCCAACTAAGAAAGTATGTTGCTGATAATTTCCAGGGATAGAGGTTAATTTTGCTGTGCTTCAGAAACTTTTTACAGCTTTCTTTATGAAGAAAAAAAATATTAAGTCACTGTCTGTTCATTCTCACAGTTCCTAGGAACATTTCATACATGCAGAAGCAAGACTAGCATAACCAATAAAGATGTGTCCATTTTTCCTATGTATGTGTAACTTGTTTAGAACATCAGCTGTTCATTTGATTTGAGAAACTAATCATCAGTGACTGCAGGATCTCAAAGCAGCTTCCCAGTATGAAAATTCTGGGAGTTCATAATCTCTTCCCATTTTATATAGACTACAAAACTGAAAGCACAGACCCGGGAATACAACTCAGGAGCAATGACCACCAGTCATCTGCTTTAAAAATTATGCTTTGCAGGCACTGGAGACTGCCCATAAGCACGTAATGGGGCATTTCAATACACTTTCTGCATAGTTGATTGGGGAAGCATTATTTAAAACTAGTGGAGGAAGCTAGGTCAATTATATTTCATGATTCATATCAATTATACTTTAGAGAAGAAAACTTACTTCGAGTCCAAACCATATCTTCCTTGGTGTTTTAGTAACTTTTGAGAAACCAAAACTATCTAAATCAATTTTTTGGGGTCTTTTTAAAAACATAATGATAACCAAAAGATAAAGCAAGTGTCTCCTGGGTTTACTTTTATCCCCTTTGGTTTATTGCCTTTAGGTCTCATGGGAATTATGTAAGTAGTAAATTTGATCTTTTGGACACCACTTTTGCTGGCAAATGTCATAAATATATAACAGAATATAATATGGATTCATGTTTGAACAAAGACATTCCATCCTCCTGTCAGACAGCAATCTTGGTTAAGTATATTTATTATGCTTAAAATAGATTATTTTTTTTTTTAAGTACCCTAGGAAATAAAAGAAGGATGAAGAGTAAATAGAAGGGAAGCACATTTTTAACTCTGCAATGCTTTGTCTTGCAGCTGTGTGAAGCTGGAAATTTTTCCATTCATGTTGCACTCAGTGACCTCCGGAGAAATGGTAAAAATTGCATTATCATTTTTCACTTTTGTGCAGCCATTCAGTACTTCTGCAGTTACTCTACCTCATGAAAGACCTGATCCTGGAGGGCATTGATAACCACCAGCTGACTGCTGTGGGAATGCAGGTTGCACAGCATTGTAAAGACTGGATTCTAGGGGAGATCAGACAGTGCAAGGAATCCAACACCAGACTGTTAAACAGCGCCACTTACCTTACTGTAATTTTTATTGGTTAGGGCCAGGTTGTGTTGGGGGAGCAGTTATATTAGTTACACTAGTAGTGCAAAAGAAAGCAGTGCTAGTATAAGCTATGCTTTGGTGAGCAAGTGAAAGTGATTCCACTGGCTTCTAGAGGGGGTACAAGATCTCTGTGCAGGCCAGGGTTCCTTGGGCATGAGCCAAACACCTTACAGCTGTCAACTATGACTGCTAAAATCCCATTCTGTGGCAATCTGAGAAAACCTTTAACTTCTACGTCTAAAATTTGAGGTACCTCTTCTTACAGGAGTCACTGTGATCAAAGACGTAGATAGATGACTTTCTAATGCCCAGAACATTTCCTCACAGTTATCCTATTCCTTCTTGTGGGTCCAGAGGACATCCTGTTTTCCCACATCCTGCTTGTCCCTCTGACAGTGATGAGACACATGAGTAGGCAGAGCTGGGTTGTCTTTATAGGAAACAATATATTTAGGAGTGTGAATATTTTGTGATTTGTTTTCTAATCTATAGGATCCAAAACCCGTAAGATCCCATATCCAACAAAGAATCCTTTCACATGGCTGTTTTTCTTTGTATCTTGCCCTAACTATACATATGAGGTATGTATTTTCAAACAAGATGTTCAGATTTTAGTTTTGCTGAATATAATTTCATTTCTTTTGGGATGTTAAACAAGGAAAAAAATCTCTGAAACAGTTCAGCTCAACACATTTCCTCTCCTTCCCTAAACCCCATGAAATCAGATTGCAGACAGGAAGTTGTCTGTTCTTCCTCTCCTCCTCTGAGGCAGTACTTAGGGGACTAGCCTTAAACAGACAGCCCAGACCCTGGGCCTACACTTCAGTGTGGCTGCTAGACAAGACAGACACACTTTAAAGCTGTGCAAATTTTGCAGACAGGAACAGGGATATTGCCACTGAATATGTATTGCAATGACAGGATAGGGGGATCTGGTGGATTTATAATATAAAAGAGCCCAGGAAGATAGCGGGCAGAAAAATAGAAGATATTGTGGTAGAGAAAATGGGGAAATAGATGAACAGAAGATATTGTGATAGAGAAAATAGGAAATAGGCCCCATTGTCTTCCCCATTTTCTTAACTTATACAATTGGGTGGTGACGGCTTTAGAAGCTTGAATCAATTTATTGCTTCATATTTCTTAATCAGAAGCCAAACTCGTGACTCAGTTCAAAAGCAGTTAAAACTGGTGCAACTCAGTGTAAAATTCACTCTTGCACAGAAGGACAGCATCAGGTTTTAAGTTCAGTGGAGATTAACAGATATTAATGAGAACAGCATTTGGCCTCAGAAAGTTACCATTCCTCGTGCTGATGGAGGTGTGACAAATACAAATTAGGCAGAGAAACGGAAAGGACACTATGTTGTAATGCTTAAAATTTTGTCATATAATAGCTATGGAAGCAAACACGAAGATTTTGTTTGTGATAATAAGGCTCTGTTTGCCTTTTTGGCTAAAGGTTGTTAAGACTAGAAATTGATCTGGCTCACCTTGGCTTTTTTATTTACCTACACTAGGACAAGGTTGTTTTTGATCAATAGAGACATAAATGCAAATGCTGTCACCAGAAATATTTTAAATTTCCTTGGCCAAAACAGGTGGGGACCTGGATCAGTTTCACTATCATGACTCAGTGTGTTCCAGGTGAGTAATGTTTTGGTACTTCATCCTGAAGTGATGTCAGCAACAAGAGTGTGTTTTTAATCTGATAATGAAACGTATCTTTTTCTCCCTCCCTTCCAGTGGGGCTGTTCACCTTGCTTTGTTTCATTCAGATGACAATCTGGGCAAAGGATAAACACTGCACCTACCTACGAGAATTCAAGGATTATCCAAGTCTTCGAATGCCAATTATTCCCTTTTTGTTGTAAGACAAAAGGCTTAATTTGAATATTGCACAGAACATCTAGAAGAAAACCTCATAAACCTCCTGCCAAATAATTGAATTAATTTAAACATGGTGCATGTTGAATCTCCACTGCTGAGGGAAATTGTACACACTTGAAAGCTACACTTCTTTACATTCAAGAATTCTCAACTCAGAAGCACCTTTAAAAAATAAGGCTTCATTGCACAGCTGGTAGTCAAAAGCCCCTACAGTCCACTGTAACCTGATTGACCTAGATTTTCCTGTACTAGTCTATTTAGATTGATGGATCAGAGATACAGAGATGTCTGTGCTGAAAAGCAGCTCCAAATTTAGCAGTGGCATTCTGCAAGGCATAAGTACATTGGAACGAGGACATAGCAGCTAACTACTAGAGAGCTCAGATCAGCCAGCACGGCCAGCTGGCCTGAAGACAGTTGCATGATCTGCCGCCTTTGACTTGAAGAAGAGTGTGTGCTGCCTGGAGGCAGGTGCTTTGTAACAAATAACATTACCAAAGAATACGAATGGTTCCTGGAATAAAGAAATAGGCAATATCTCAAATACCTGATTTGGGTCTAACCCCTGATTTGCCAAAAGAATCTGAAGTAAGAGGTATTTGTACTATTTGTGGATGTAACATCCTGCGTTGTTGGGTTGGTTGTTTGTTTTCAGACTTTTTTTAGTAAATTGCATACTAGTAAATGAGGTTCAGAAAATCTGATCTATGCTATATCTGTGATATTTGGCCTGTTTTCATATAGCAAGTCCTTATTATACTAAAGGACCTTTTACCTAGCATTTTATGTCAGCATTCTCTGAATAATTTTTAATACACTTTGTAAATACGTGAAGTAACTGATAGTCGTCAGAATGCTAGCTCCCTTCCTATTTTCAGAGCCAGGGAGAAAAATCAGCTACATTTTGGACTTCCTGTGTTTTCTTTTTCACAAGATGTTCAGTGGAACTTAGTTGGGTTTTGTGCAAATCTAGTAAAAAAGACTATTGCAATCTATCTGAATGACATTTTAAAGAAGCTATTTTAGAATATGAAGAGAATGCATAGATACTGGTTTGTTTCATGATTAATTTATTTATCTATAATGGCTGTATAGAAAGATTTTTGCAACTATTTGTAAGGGTGAAATATGCAATAAATTCTAGACTATATTTTGAAATCAGTTGAAATAATTATGGCAAAAGACAATGACTACAGCTGGTTGCTGAAGTTTAATAATATTTTGTACAGTAAAAAGCAAGAATGTCCTTACATTAAAAAATCTACATCAATTGAAGGAAAAAAACCCTAACAAAGCAAAAAAACATGACTCAGATTTTTTTTCTGTATAACATATCTTAGAGAAGATTTCTTAGAAATTATTAGATCTGGTAGATAACTGAAGCAATACATCATTATGAATTTCTTTCCAATATTGTTATTTTCCACTAGTTTAACTGTAAACCAGAGAAAAGAGATAAATGTCAAATGATTTCCCACTGAGTGCAGAGTGGAGTACGAGCAAGTTGAAATTTTCCTTCTGAGCACAGAGAAAGCACATATCCTATTCACACTTTACACCCACTTAAGGTCCAGTCACATGAAAGAAGAAAAAATTGATCTTCTTTAGTAACAAAGATATCTTTCCAGGCCTCCATGAGAAAACAAAACTTTCAGCAGACTTGGACATACTCTCTTTCCTTTTAATCTCCATTTTGACATTCTGCTTCTATTTGAGAAACTTGAAGATGAGTATGAGATGATAATTTTCATTAAGATTTTTTTTTAAAAAGTAAATTTCTTGCCTGGGTCTGAGTTCTGAAGTAATTCTTCCCATTCTTGCTGAGACAACCATCTATTTTCACTGGCAGCCTGCTGAGACAGTGAAGCAGTCTCCCAGCACTAGCCCCATCAGCCAGCACTGATGTTCTGACCTTGGTAGTCCTGTGCACTCAGGTTGGCAGGAACCCACTTCTAAGCAGGGCAGCACTCTCTGCCTTGGGACCTGTCTGCTGACTGGTAGCAGCTGACTAAAGAGTTAAACAAGGAAAAACCTACCAGCCTGAAAGGACCAGATAGAGAAACTGGTTCTTTACATGTCAACAAGGAAGAATGAGAATTCTCTTCTTGTATCTTATGAACTTTATGTTAGAGGAAGATTTTGTTCTATAGCAAGGACCTGCCTTTCCTTTCACACTTTCAGCATGTAGTGTTCCTGGTAGAGCAGTAGAAGTTGGCTGTTGCTAGGGCTGTTGCTGTTGTGAGCACAGTGCTCAGAAAGGTGCAAAAAAAATCAGTATAATACTGAGTGTGGGGATTTTACCTTCGTTTTACCTTTGTACTGCTCTGATATGGCACATCTTTGCACTGTGCACACTCTAAGCACTAGTGACTGTAGGTCTAGTCTATGCAGCTGCCTGCTGATGCAAAGCAGGGGACACCTTTGCTTCTCGGCTGGCTCCAGCTGCACGGGGATGCAAAGGAATTTCCTCATCCTCCATCTGCTGTTTAGCAAAGTTCACAAAAACCTGTGTGAGGAAAGCAGAAAATGTCACCATCTCATCAACTGAGATGAGTTAGTGGAACGTCTCTACCTTTGCATCTTCTTGGCCTCTGCAGGGAAAAGCAAGGGGAATCCATACACATGAGCTCAACTGAGACACTGCGCATCAGCAGGGATCATTAATTCCTTCTTTATTTTGATAAATTTCCTTTGGATGCACTTACTTGCAACTAAAATCCTATTTTTTCTTAAGCAGGAGATGGGTTCAGCAAGGTTTGCATGGCTTGCACAACATAAGTGAGTTTGGTTGTGATGGGAAAGAAGAGACAGTATATTTTAGTAGAAAGCTGTAAGGCTGCCAGGAATGACTCTCTAGTATTCCCATCAAAGACAGTTTTGCATATGTGGACCCTCAGCTACTCAGGAAACCAGGCAGATGGGGCTAATACCCTCTAGCAAGTTGGTGTTGCCAACAGTCCCAGTGGACTTCCCAGGTTTTGTGTGTCTAATTGCTCCTGTATAAAAGTGCATGACAGAGACATATAAACATTTATCACAGTATCTCTGACACAACACAGTCCAACTCTCTTGTTTAAAATAAAGTGTTATTCCCAGCTCAGCAAGCCTCATTCTGAATAGCTGACCTTGCTCTGACTGCTGGTCCTGAAGGAATGGATTGTGTGAATTCTGGCATGTGGGAAACACTGTCTTACCAGCTTTCAAATGGCACCTATTTACATAGGGAATTAGTTCCAGATTTCATATCTGATCCACCTCCTTGATGAGGGGTCTGGGAATTTTGCCTGAGAAAAAAGTGTGAGATAATTCTCTACTCTGAACAGTTTGAGCCTTCAGTTGTTTGGATACATCCCCATTGCATTGCCTAATTCAGGCCAGACAGGCTCTCTCATGGATGCTTTATTTTTCACTCACCTGATCTAAAGTTGTTTGAGACACAGAATATTCTTCAATATGCAAGTTTTCCTTATTGGAGATTATTAACCGAAAAATCTTAGCCAGAGAGGAGGAACAAATCTGATACTGCAGCATGTTGTAGTGTTTCTCTCTCCGTAAACTCCCTGGGAAGTTCATCCGTATGAATTGCTCAGCAGGAGTAGGATCTGGAGGCAGCCCATACTTTGGAGCTTTGATTTTCAGAGTGACAATGTAGCCATCTCCAAACCTGGGAAGCACAGGTGGATTTGGGAATTGGATGAAGAGATGGTTTCATTATTCAGGAAGGAAATTAATTTTCAGCAGCTACGAAAACATTAACAGTATCTGAAAGATAATGCATAAGATCTAGCTTTGTAGAAAGCTCTGTATTTGCCCTGCAGAAGTGGTGTGTAGCATAACAGAGTTGAGGGGAGGTGAGGTCTGCTCAAATTGTCTAGGATACCACAGAGTTGCACCCAGAAATAGGTCTATTTAAACAACAGCTCTTCATATTGGATTGCTGTATTAAGAATGGTACATACCACACACACTAAGTTTTCCCATTAAAAAAACACCATAAAAATATTCTACTTACTTGTATTTTAGTTGCTGAATTGTGCCAAGGCATTTGAAGGCACCTTTTACCATGATGGCTAAACGAGTACAGAGGGCTTCACATTCTTCCATACTTTCAAAACAGAGAACAGATACTTGAGGTAAAAGCCAGCAGATGAACTCCAGCTACTCTGGGATTCTGAATTCTAACTCTTTTTACCTGTGTGAGGTTAGAACCACAGCTCGCCTATCTCTGAGCACGCTGACAATAGAGTCCCATAGGAGGCGCCGGGACTGAGGGTCCATTCCAGTAGTCGGTTCATCCTGTGAGGGAAGCATTAAGACAACTGGAGTCAGAGAAGCAGATAAGAAAAAGAAAATCTATTTAGAATCAAGTCATTGTGTGTTTGGGTCTTAGCATATAGCTGCTTCCCTACTGAAATCTGTGCCTTGAGAAAGCACGTGCACCTTGAGAAGCACATGAGTGAACTGGTACTGATGTACTATTTGGCACAAGGCAGTAAGGAAACAAGTACAAGAAGCTGCAGGTAAGAATATAATGCTGTCTGTGTAGGGCATAGCTACAGGGAAGGGAATGCAGAGACCATTACAACAAAGGCAGTCCCCAGTCTAGGGTCTTAGATACCAAAAATGTAATAAGCATTTGTGATACTCCATTATAAAAACATTTAGTAATCAAGACAGAAATAAATAGAAAGAGGCTTATGTAGTAGCAGCTCCCATGTTTTGATGGGCATTAGAGATGTAAATCAATATACTGGAGAAACAAAGAAAAAAATCTTACATCTATAATACTAGCTTGAAGACAGAGATGGTCACTTTGAATAAAATCTTCCTTTTCTGGGGCAACAGCTTTTGTAAGAGGACAATGAGTTCTCCCCAGGTAAGCTTCTTATTTACATAAACATATAGAACACATTTCTCAACCCAAGAAGCTAGTGTAGTCACCCTGATTTACACCAGCTAAGGATCTGGACCTACATCAATCAGTTAACCCAGTTAGTAACAAAAAAAATTGAAAAAATCTTGGAGAAAAAAATTTTCATTCAACATTTTGTCTTAAGAAATTATGAGAA